GGCTTCTTGGGCTGGTGGCCATAGGTTGTGTTAGAATTTAATTTTTATATATGGACTGGCTATGGTGATTTTTATATTTAGTCTCTTATAAATTTTGGATCTGACAGTGGCATGTGGTAATTAGGAAGGATAATCCTCACAAGAAAAGTGCCTTCTATGGTCAACAGAAATGGGTCAGCCACAAGTAATCATGCTCACTAGCAATTGTGCTTTTTATGTATTACCTCAATTTACATTATAAAGAAACAGCCAGAAAGAGGCAGAGGAGAATGCTACCTGCAGCAGCACCTGGGGTAAAAGCCAATGCAGCGTTACATGCAGACCTAAGCACGTCAGCCTCAACCTCAGCTAAAGATCTGAGGAACATTATACCACCTCCTAAGCAGACCGGGAGAAATTCCAAAGGTTGTCTAGTGACAAAGGCCTGGACTTTTTTGGTAAATGAGCAAGGAAAAAATAAACTCACTTAAATTAACTTTTTTTTTTTAATGTAAGAAAAAAATCAAAACATACTTTTAAGACAAAATTCTACAGAGTAAGAGAGTAGATCTACCATTTGATCCAGCAATTCCACTACTGGGCATCTACCCAAAAGATCAAAAGTCACTTTATGAAAAAGACACCTGCACTCAAATGTTTATAGCAGCACAATTCACAATTGCAAAGCTGTGGAAACAACCCAAGTGCCCATCAATTCATGAGTGGATTAATAAAATGTGGTATATGTATACCATGGAATACTACTCAGCTTTAAGAAACAATGGTGATATAGCACCCCTTGTATATTCCTGGATACAGCTGGAACCCATTCTACTAAGTGAAGTATCTCAAGAATGGAAAAACCAGCACCACATGTACTCACCAGCAAATTGGTATTAACTGATCAACACCTAAGTGGACATGTAGGAGTAACATTTATCGGATTTCCGGAGGGTGGGAGGGGGGAGGAAGGGACGGGTATATACAACCACAACGAGTAAGATGTGCAACGTTTGAGGGATGGACACACTTGAAGCTCTTACTCGAGGGGGGAGTGGGGCATGGGCAATATATGTAACCTTAACACTTGTACCCCCATAATACACTAAAATAAAAAAATTAAAAATTAAAAAAAGGAGAGAGTAAACACAACACTGAGGAGACTCAAAGGAATTGCATAATTCCAGAAAATGTGCTAGTGCAGGATCCAAAAGAAAACTACAGTAATCTATTTTAAGATCTTCATTAAAATTAAAGAAGACACTACTTCTACGAAAATGGATCTGAAAGTCATAAGGGAAAATTAGACTTTGATGAAGGTGGAGAGAGAAGAGATAAGCAAAGATAGGAAAATGAAAACTAAATAGCAGAATATGAGTCTTCATCAAAACTATCAAATCAATGATGTATCTCATAAACTTGGAACGCCTTCAGGATGAAAGGAAAAAAAGGCATACTTCTTTAAAAGATGAAAGATGAGATTGATATGTCCAGCATATCATATGTTGTTGGCTTATCATAGTTGGCTTATCATAGGTTGTTGGCTTATCATAGTTGATAAGCCAATTGATAGATAGAATTGATAATTGATATTCCTGAGGGAGAGATAGAAATAAAGAAAGAAGAATGCTATCAAATAATAATGATATAACAATAATACAAAATAATTACAGCTAATATTTATTAAGTGCCTATTATGCTTCAAGCTATGTGCTTTCTATTTTATTTGGATTGTTAAATTTAATGCACACAACAGTACTATGAGTGGTTATATATTAACCAAAATTCATGAATGAGAGAATTAAACTTAAAAGGGTATAAGAATATTCCCCAGTTTATTAAATAAAGCCTTTCTCATAGAATTTTATTTTTAAAAACATCAACAAATATATGGACCCATATATATATACATATATATGTTTATATATAAACTTTGACAGCATATATATATCAGCATATGACAGCATATATATATATATATATGTATCTTCTGTTTTTTGTCCATTAAAATAAAAATAAAATACAAGGATTCTAGCCTCCCTTTCTTTCCCTCTCTCTCCCCCTCTTTCTTTCTCTCCCCTGCTCCCTTACTCCCTCTTGCTGCCTCCTTCCTTCTCTCAGCAAACAATTCTAACTTGATCTGTTTCACTGCCGCAACAAAAAAGTCATTAGGAAAGATCTCTATGTTTCTCTACCCAACAGCTATGTCAGTTATAGTTGACTTGACCTGTTGGCTGTACTTGCTGTTGTTGATCAAGTCTTCTCAAAAGTCTCCCTTCCCTTTGGTTCTACTGTGCCAAACATTTCTGCTTTCCATGTGCTATCATCTTTGTGAAAAACCCTGGCACAAAAGAAAATCTCAATACATATATGTCCTATTTCCAGTCACAAATTCCCTAGACTTTGCATTTTTAACAATTGATGTGAAAAATGCTAATTTTGTAATACCAGCATTCATGTCACTGAATAACTCAAGAAAGCCTTCAGTTGAATGCGGTCTTTAGTTCCAAAGAAACTAAACTTGTTGAAGTATCTCAAGTCCATTTGATCCTAAAATAAACTGAAACGAAAGATTGGATCTACTAACATTCTGGTTTACTTTTTGAATTCTGTGACAATTACAAAAACTCATACATTGAAAAGTCAAACATGCATGATAATCTTATCTTTAAAAGTTATCTTAATGAGAGAGGGAGGAATTGGAAATTGCTGTGAATTGCAACTGTATATCACTATTTGAATGTTCTTGCCTTTCCTGAAAATTATTTTAGTTATATGGAAAGAAAAATGAAACATGAAGACAATGTAGGAAGATTATCTCCTCCCATGTCTCCTTACCTTCCCCATCTGAAAAATAGAATTGTACATATGATATGAGGCACTGAGTATAATGGTGTGTAGCGAAAAATACGTTTTCATGTGAAATTATTTCATGTGTTAATCCATTTATACAAAAATATAAAAAGTAGTTAGTATGTGGCAAAACATCACAAATATACATGGAATGAGATCAGTTCAGCATCCTCAAAGAACTACTCTTCTGATGGCAAAAAGACAAATGACCCCAGAACGATTTAATAATTGCTATGAAAGACATGAGAAAGTCGTTTCTAGGTGTCTCCTAATCTCTTCCCTTAACTTTTTCAAATCCTTCATCAATATCTCAGGTCTTATTTGTATGACTTCTTTTGTTTTTTGAACCAGTTCTTAAATGACTTGGCAAAGCTCTCAGGTTTTAGTGTGAGAGTGAATTAGCATACTTCTCTCTCAGGTTCTAGTGCGTTTCACCTCTAATATATCCTCCACTTGACTGATGGGTGATTGCAGTGAAATGCAGCTCTGAAATTTTATTTTCTTGCATACAAACTTTTTGACAGCTTCCCAGTGTCAGCCAATAAATTCTAAGCTCCTTAGCTTAGTCTACTCCTTCCTGAGCTGCCCTTTGTGTAGCTTGCTAGGGTCACTCCTCTGGAAACTTGCTTAGCTCCAGCATTATTGAATTAGCTGATGTTTTTATTTTTTTTATTTATTTTCAGCATATTATGGGGGTACAAATGTTAAGATTATGTATATTGCCCTTGCCCCCCCCACTCAAGTCAGAGCTTCAAGTGTGTCCATCCCCCAGATGGTGTGCATTGCACTCATTATGTATGTATACACCCATCCCTTCCCCCTCCACCTGCCTGACACCCAATAAATGTTATTCGTATATGTCCACTTAGGTGTTGATCAGTTAATACCAATTTGCTGGTGAGTACATGTGGTGCTTATTTTTTCATTCTTGGAATATTTCACTTAATAGAATAAGCTCCAGCTCTATCCAGGAAAATACAAGAGTTGCTATATCGCCATTGTTTCATATAGCTGAATAGTACTCCATAGTATACATATACCACATTTTATTAATCCACTCATGTATTGATGGGCACTTCGGTTGTTTCCACATCTTTGCAATTGTGAATTTTTCTGCTATAAACATTTGAGTGGAGGTGTCTTTTTCATAGAGTGACTTTTGTTCTTTCGGGTAGATGCCCAGTAATGGGATTGCTGGATCAAGTGGTAGATCCATTTGTATTGCTTTAAGGTATCTCCATATTGCTTTCCACAGAGATTGAACTAGTTTGCAGTCCCACCAACAATATAGGAGTGTTCCTATCTCTCCACATCCACACCAACATTTATTGTTTTGGGACTTGTTAATAAAGGCCATTCTCACTGGAGATATGTGATATCACATTGTGATTTTGATTTACATTTCCCTGATGATTAGAGATGTTGAACATTTTTTCATATGTTTGTTGGCCATTATTCTGTCTTCTTTTGAAAAGTTTCTGTTCATGTCCTTTGCCCACTTTTTGGTAGGGTTGTTTGATGTTTCCTTGCTGATTTTCCTAAGTTCTAAATAGATTCTAGTTACTGGATGTGTAGCTTGGGAAAATTCTCTCCCATTCTGTGGGTTGTTCGTTTGCTCTCTTGACAGTTTCTTTGGCTATACAGAAGCTTTTAAATTTGATCAGGTCCCATTTATTTATTTTTGTTGATGTTGTGATTGCCTTTGGGGTCTTCTTCATAAATTCTTTGCCTAGGCCAATGTCTAGAAGAGTATTTCCAGCGTTTTCCTCAGAGCACCACCCACCACATGAGACACAAGAGTGTAGCTGATGTTTTTAAAAACTGGCAGACTGTTTCCCTCACCTGGGCTTTCATTCATGTCATTTCCTTCTACATGGTAACAGCTTGTTTCACATGATTTTAGCTTAAATATCTATTATCACTTTAGAAAGGCTTTCTTGACTACCTAAAGTAGCCCTGAATTAATCCACTTACACATTTGTGCCCCTATGTTACATCATCCGCTGTTGCCTTATTGTTTGTTTCCTTGTGTAATGTTAGACTTACCTCCTGGAATATTGCTCTTGAGGCAAAGAAGTTGTCTGTCTGTCCTGAGCACCATTTTATCCCTGGAGTTTAGTGCAGTTTCTGTTACATAATGGCAGTTCTATAAATATGGGTTAAATAAATTAAGTAAGCTAACCCATACACCAAATATATTCAAGGGCTCGCTCTGCTTCTGCATGATTCATCTGCACTGGGGAGAGAAAAAATTAGGGCATTTGACCTTAATCCTAAATTTGGTTTTCTAGAAAGACAATTATGCCCTAGCAGGATATGAAGATAATTTAAATTGGAATAAGAAATCCCCCCAAATCCCCAAACATACTCCCTGATTTTATGATGTTTGACCTACACACACACACACACAAACACACACACACTTGCTGTTTCTTGGAGTAAGGCTCCTAATTTATTGATTCCTCACTTCTCTCATGTTAATCTTTAAAATTTCATTCCTGACTGTTCTTGTTTTGTTCTTCTTCTTTTTTAATTTTTTTTTTTTAGAGACAGAATCTCTTCTGTCACCCAAGCTAGAGTGTAGTGGCATGATCACAGCTCACTATAATCTCGAACTCCTGGGCTTGAACAATCCTCTTGCCTTAAGCTCTCCAGTAGCTAGGACTACAGGTGTGTTGCCACCATGCCTACGTTTATGATTTTTTTGTAGAGACAGGATCTTGCTGTGTTTCCAAGGTTGGTATTGAACTCCTGGCCTCAAGTGATCTTCCCACCTCAGCCTCCCAAAGTGCTGGAATTACAGGAGTGAGCCATAACTCCTGACGGTTTTGCTTTTCTGTAGCAAACTGTCCTACATATCTGTAAATTAATTTTGTGACTTCACAGAAGCAAACATACCATACACATGTTTAAAAAAATAGTTGTTTAAAACTTCTCAGTCATTTCTTTCATTACTATTTATTTAGTATGTGATCCATATTTAATAATTTGATAGGTATTTACTTGAAATGTATTCTGTGCAAAGCTCTGTGGGAGACACTGGCAGAAAATGTAGTCTCTTTCTCCTCTGAAAATGCTCAGCATATAGTAGGGGATATAAAATTAATAAACACAAAATATAATTGGAACAGCAGCAGGAACTGTCAAGAACCCAGATGAGAATGGAAGAAGAGCCAAGTCTTCCTTCCTAGACTAAGCATTAAATGACTGTGTGACATTTGGCAAGTAACTTCACCTTTCTCAGCCTCAGTTTCTGATTTGTAATCAGGGATTGGAATTATATAACACAAAGTTAGCTTTTGAATATATACAAATCTCTGTAAATTTAGGAAATGAAAATTTAAGCTGTGAAATGTTTGTCTATCAATTAGACAAATATTATATAAATAATTCTCAGTTGGCAAATTTCTTTTGAAATGGACATTCTTATAAACTGCTAGCATATATATAAATTTATATAATCTATTTATAGCAAATAAAATGTGAATTGAGCATCTAATTCTAATTTACAAGGATTTTCATTATAGCAAGAATTTAAAAATAGCTAACTACATAACTATCCAAAATTAGGAGAGTAGATTAGTATTTCATGGTCCATTCTAACCATTAGTTCAATTTGTGGAAGCTGTTTCAGGCCCCAACAATGTGTTGGACTCAGCTGTAAGATAGGTATATGTATAACCTAATTTAATTCTTACCAAATGTATATGACATAGGCACTATTACTGTACTATAGCCACGCTGCAGGTGAGGTTATAGTTAAATAATTAGTTTAATGCCTGACTAAAAAATAATCAGGTCAGGATTTGCACTGAGACAATTCACAGCCCAAGCTCTTAAGCACTGTGTTAAGCTCCATTCTACCATGGCATTAATAGTGTGACTCCAAGGCAAAATATACTTGGAATAATTCAGAAATAATAGGTGACTACTGATATGATAGTAGTAGAAATGAAACAGGAAAATAGCCTGGGATATGTGTGACAAGCATTGTGGAGAATCAATGAATTGAATATTGGAATAAATAAAATAAAGGGATTAATTAATAATAATAATTATAATAACTACCTGTTAAGAACCTACTGTTTTTCAATGCTGTGCTAGTCATTTAATACACACATTAACAGTAGAAATAATTAAGTTGAATTTAATTTTAAACTCATAGGGTTTGGAGTATCCAAAGGATATCCTAAATGTTGAGACATTTGTAGTGAACACAGATGGAAATGAAAGATGTAGAATGCTCAGAGAAAATGCTAGGAGCAGGTTCTTTCTCCTCAAGAGATGCAGGAGTCTGAGAAAACACAGGGCTAAAATGGTATTTACATCATCTTGTTGTGTGAGTGTGTATGTATCTTCATTTTTATAAGCATTAATTCTGTTAGTTGTAGAACTCACTCTACACCCCAAAGAAGTCACACCTCTCTCTCTCTCTCTCTTTTTAAATAATGATTTTTTTTCTCATGAGCTCTCACTTGCTAGGTGGTAACAAAGAAAACACACAAACAGTAAACTAATTTTAAACAATTCCTATTACCTGAACAGTCTATGTGCATTTTCTAACTTGTTATACAAATTTTCAAAATTAAGAAAAAAGCAGAAAAAACAATATAAACCCCATTTACCAATCACATACATCTAATAACTATTAGCATTTTGCCAAATTGGCTTTCTTTCTCTCTTAGTATAGTTTTTATAAGTTAATTATAAACATCATTACATTTCAGCTCTAAATATTTTATATGCATCTCTACAAATCAGGATGTTTTCTATATGTCTTTTCTATAACTATTTTACCTTAAAAATTAATAGCATTTTAGTACCATCTAATATTCATTCTATTTTTCAATTCTCTAATTGTCCCATTGTATGTTTATATCGATTTGTTCAAAGCAGCATGAAATCAAAGACCATCAATTGAATTTTGTTAACCCTCTAAGGTCTTTTTAAAACTAGAAGTATCCTACCTTTTCTTTATATACTGTTGACTTGTTAAAAACACCAGGTGAATTATCCTGTGGAATGAACCAACATTTAGGTTAAACCTTTTTAGTGAGAATACATTGTAGATGATGCTGTGTGGTTCATATCACATTATTTTAGAAGGTACATGACTTCTGGTTTTCCCACTGTTAGTGATGCTAAGATTTATTACTATGTTAAAAATTTTTTAGTTATACTTTCCCCTGGCAATCAGATATTTTATGGGTTGTATCCATGCAAATATCTAGTTCTCTGTCAACATTTCACTGAATGGTTTCAATGTCCATTGATGATCTTTGCCTGAATAAATTATCTTAACAGGGTTGCAAAGAACTTAATGTCTTTTGAATAAATATTTAGTCTTTCAAACATTTCCTCCCTTGCATATGCATACACGTATTTTTTCCCCAAAGTGATATTTAGATACATGAAGGACTTACCATGTCCTTGAAGAAAAAATATAGAGGCCTTCAAATCCACATGAGATCTGTTGTATTCTCCTAATTATGTGTGCTCTTCAACTTTTGATCTATTATCTTTTGTTTTACACAGGGCCTGGTGCTGCTATGTATCTGACTTTGTCTCATCTGGGCTCTTTTTGGTGTCACATAGCTTCTGCTTGTCATCTGTCACATGCCCCATCTTGTCCCTGGCCTAAGCTGTCCATGACAAAATGTTGCCATGAGGCTTCCTCATTCTACACCATGATGGTCTACCTCATAGAAGGACAAATACTATTAAATCAGCTAAAGTACATACATCAGGCCCACCATGGGATCACAGATTCTTGAGTCCTTTGTACATAAAGCAAGAGTGGCTTGGAAAATAAGATGAACAACTGCTTTGGTTTGCTTAAGCCTGAAGGGTTTCCCGGGAAGTGAGAATTTCAGTGCTAAAACTGGAATAGTTCTGCAAAAACCAGGACAGTTGCCTACTCTTTTGGAAAAGCCAAAAAGAAACCCTCCCTCTGCCTGACAATACCACAATGCAAGGTACAATTGGCTGGGGTTATTTCAGGTTGGTGTTTTAAAGTCCCCTCTGCCTTCAGTGTCCCTCTCAGTATCTCCATCCTGTCTGTCACTTTGGCCTAGAAATGGAAGATGGGCAGAACTGCCTTGCCCTCTGTTTTCCTGACTTAGCAGAATCCTTTCTTTTCTCATAATTCCTTAGGTGGAAGGTACAATTGTTTGTTTTTCTTTTTCTCTTTTTGTACACTCAAGGTTTTCCCTTGCCCTTTGGAGAGACAGGCTAGATGTTTGCTTCTTCCAAGTCACATTCTTTCTGACTCGAGCCTTACAGCTAAACCATAGTAGAGACCAAGGTACAGAGAAAAAGATAGCCATCTTTATAAGGGAAGCTGTTTGGAAAGTATTTCAAGATTATTTCATCTCAAATATCTATTTATCCTCATAGAAAATAATACTTGTCATACTCCTTAGACTATAATGTTAGATTTATTGGAGCTTTAAAAATCATGTTACATTAAAGAAGAAAAGGCTTCTGAAAAAAATGGCACACTAGAAAATTCTGTGCTTGCTACGTTCATTATATGAGTTGAATTGATGATGGATTGAATGGAATTTGAAAGCATCTGGGGAATATTCTAATATTGGTACTGCTAAAACCTTTGTGAATATTTTTATTTCTCAGCCAGGCTCAGTCAGCACTTTGCCGGATACCCATTTATATGATAGATACCATGTGGCCAATAAAATTCCCTAATATTTTTCAAGCCATATGGCATCTACCTCTTTTAAATTACCTCAAGTCCTATGACTACTGGGGTATAGGTATCACAGGAAATCTGCACAAGATGTGCAATGACTTATTCTACACAGGTTGTAGAAATGTGGCATGAAGTCAGTTTTTCTGACTTTCTGTTCAACATTATTTTCTGTTATAGCAGACTATCATAGGCCTACTGGGTTGAAAACTTCTGGAAGACAATGTGCCTCCTGGAAGTGTGAGCACATGGAATGATACATAGGTTTTTTTCATTCTTTCTCTGAAAAATGTGTCAGACAAAGAGGTAGTGCTGGGAGCAGGGTTGCAAAATTTAAGGAGCTGTGGAAAAACTTAGTAACCAAGGTAAACATTTTAATGCAATATTTATAAAAATCAAAATTTATGCAAAAAAGCATTATGTAGCAAATATCAACAATAAATATTATGAAGTTTGCCTTCTGCCTCAGGCTCTAATATAGCTCTGTATGGCACTGCAAAGAGAGTTCTGCAAGGACTTGCTGCCTAGCTGTAGGGGGTCAGCTGTGAACTCCTTCAGTGTCTGCCTTAACTATAGATCCCTGCCTTCCCTGAGGTCCCACCCTTCCCATGCTGGCCTAGTTCATAACTGAGCAAGGTTGGGGTACAAAGCTCCAGCTATTTTGTCCTGATCAAAGAAAATTCTAAGACACTACTCTCTTCAGAACTCCCTGCCAGGTTGGCTAGGCTTTATCTCACGTGCATCTCAGTTTAACTTCTTCCTCTGACCGATTTTTCTTCGCCCACCTTCCTTCACAGGTGTTGATCTTTAAAACAGCTTTTATCCCAAACTCTGACTTAGCACCTGCTTCCAGAGAACCCAACCTGTGATTGTGCTGCAGCTGCTAAAGCCAGCTTTATCTAGATATCATGGTTTAGATTAAAAATTTCAGTTTGCATGTTCTGGTTTCTTTTCTTAACAATTTAAAGAGGTTGTACATAAAGCTGTTCAGGAGAACAGGAATGAACTGTAGACAATTTTTAAGCAATTAACTGCATGCATATGCAGTCATAACAGAACAAATTATAAATAATATCCAATTATAACTATAGTGTGGTTTCACTATTGACAATCAGTCCAGTCTCAGAGTATAAAGCTCTGCATTTAGATCTGTTAGAGTACCGATTCGCCATGGTTTATGTTTTATGGTCTTCTTTTTGTTTATGTTTCCTCTTTCCTCACTCTATTTATCACAAAATCCCATATCAGACTCGTTACATCATTATATGATATGGTAGTTATGTAGAGTACCAAAGCTGCCTAGCTGTAGGGGGTCAGCTGTGAACTCCTTGGGTCAGAATTTACTCAAAATTCTTTAATAAAAATGTCTTTTTGCCTCAAATACAAGACTTCATTAATTGCATTTCTATTAATTCAATTGTTTCTTCTTAGTAACTATGGCACAGATCTGTCAAGAGGCTGCAAATACAGGAAATATTTTCCTTTGAAATGCAAACATGCTTACCAAGCCAGGGAGCTTCAGCCAGCAGCACTCTTCTTATGAGTGCTTTACAAAGGTGCCAGAGTCTTCCAAGAAAATGTAATTTTTTCCCCAAACTTGAGGCAAGAAACAGTATGTTTGGGGTTGAGTGTTACCAGAAAGATTGTCTCCCTTGAAGTAAAATCCTTTTCATCACTGATATCCCTTTCTCCCTCATCTCTTCCTTCCTGTTTTCCCACCTCACCGCCTCCCTTCCTGCCTGCCTTTTCTCCTTCTTTCCTTTTCTCCTGCATCAACTACAGAGGCTTGCCTTACCTGAGCGTCCCACTCTTCCCCAGTTGCTCACATGTAGAAAATAGGACACACTTCATTCCGTTTTACACTCTGCAGCCTCAATGAGGTTTCAATTTTAGTTGTTTTATGCTTACTATGCACAAGCTACGTTAGTATCTGGGTGAAAAATATTCTTTTTCCATCAGAATGTAAAACAAACAAACAAACAAACAAAACCTCTGGCTTGGGAGTGGGAATACTTTGGTTCTATTATTTGCCATGCTGCAAACTTGGTATTTGACACTGGCTAGTCACTTCACTTTTCTGGATTTCCGCTCCTGTCTGGCCTATGGAGACATTTGCTGAAATGTTGTTGAAACTTTAATTATCAGAGTTACAATGCTGAATGACATGTTGAGTACATTCTAGGGATAGTTTGAAGACTTGCATGTATTAATTTTATAATCTTAGAGATTTACTAGGTCTATGGATATGTGTGAAGGCTATGCAATAAGCTATGGATATGAATTCTAGAGTTACTATATAGTAGCTAGAAGGCTTGGAACATATTATATAACCTCTCAGATTCTTTGTCCATTCATCATTGAATGGAGATAATGAGAAAAATAATAATTAACTTCCATCAGTATTGGGAAAATTTGAGATTGCTCCCCACCAATGAATGTAATTCTTGTCCTATGGTAGTGACTTTATAATTGTTTGCTATTATTATCATTGAAAAATTTATAATATTTTTGTCAGATACACTTTCTTTTTTTAGTTCATATTTTTGCTTATTGTATTTAGCTTCTGAGTTAGATATTAATTTGTATGGTTTTATAGTATGTAAAGTGCTTTGAGCTCTCTGAGAAAAAGCATTGTGCAACTGGAAAACATTATTTAGTGCACTGACGCGTGAATGTCGAAGGATTCAGACACACTCATCTTAAAGGAAGTACTAACTTCAAAATCTCCATGAATCCTATAAATGTACACTTAATAAACACTGAAAATTTATAATTTTTCACTTTTCAGTTAAAAGTAAAAGCAATAAGATGCTGAAAGAATAAATTAAAAAAGAGAGAAAAAAGTAAAAGCAAAGACAAAAAGTATAACACAAAATTTATGACATGATTATAAAATGCTAGAATTTAAATCTCTTATTTAGTATCAAGTTCCTGAAAATTAAATGTTAAGAAGTTATAATAATTAGGGATCTTGCCAATCATTGACAATTACAGTCCAAATCCTGTCTATATGCATTTAAGCTACGTGCATTTTCTTATATTACTATCTTACATTTGCAAATAACTTGGCACAGTAACTTTATATATGCTAATATAATTTTAATTATCCCTTAAGAAGACAAATCAGAGATAATTAATACTTTGTTATAAATGAGATGATAGAGGCACAAAGAGTTTAAGTCACTTGCCTATAACCACAACAAAGAGTCTAGGTTCACATTATTTCCACTCTAGTGATGGACATCTACAGAGCATGTAAGGGGCATCATGATTGTTCCAATTGGATTAGAGTGTAGAATTGGGGTGTAA